CTCTGTGCTTCAAGTCGCTGCTGATGACGCTGCTTCCGACATCAGTTTTTGGTGTCTCTCTTCGTCTGATGCCTACCCTTTGACCTGTCCAGCAAGGGAGGCCCTGCCAGTAGCTATGCTACCGCTGGTATAGCTCTCAGGGTCCTTGGCGTACTCAAACCCCCTCACCACGATAAGGTGGAGACACCAACGAGGGGGTTCCTCCATTGCTTGCATATAATTTTTCTTTGACTTTATGTTGTGTTTGTCCATAATGCAATTACCTGTATCTACACTGTGCTGTGTCTGTTATTGGCCTTGTGGCTGTTGAATCGAATTGAGTTAATATTTCTGATTTATTACGATTGAGCTCATAGCGTGGTCTCCAAATGATTTCAGCGTGGCGTTCTTTACTCTTTTCTTTCTCCTTGACGATACAGAAGAGGAACGGTTATAATCGCAAAAATAATTATATACGAGTATATTTCAATGGAAATTACGAGTACTAACAGAAGCATATTTCTGTTAAAAATCAGGTGGGAAGGGATAATGGGACACCATCTCTTCCATCTCGGGTACCTTCAGCTCTAGCTGCGTACACCCGCTATGTTGGTTGCCTAAAGTGAACTGGTTATTCTTTTCAAGGAAACTTGATTCAGTAGGAAATTTAGAGGCGATTGAACTCGGATAACGCTTGCTACATTCAGTCCAGAACCTTTTGTCTTCTCGTCTGTTGTCTAGAAGCATAAAAAGTGGAATATGCAAAGAAATAATTTTGCCTGTGGTTCTGTATGGGTGTGAAACTTGGTCTGTGACATTAAGAGAGGAACATAGACTGAGGGTGTTTGAGAACAGGGTGTTGAGGAGAATATTTGGACTGAAGAGAGATGAAGTGACAGGAGGCTGGAGGAAACTGCATAATGAGGAGCTTCATAACTTGTCCACTTCTCCAAGTATAATTAGAATGGTCAAGTCAAGGAGAGTGAGATGGGAAGGGCATGTAGCACGAATGGGGAGAAGCTGAATGCATATAGGATATTGGTGGGAAAGCCAGAAGGAAGGAGACTGCTAGGAAGACCAAGACATATGTGGGTGGACAATATTAAAATGAATCTTAGATAAGATTGGATGGTACGGATTGGATTGATCTGGCTCAGGATAGGGACGACTGGAGGGCTCTTGTGAACACGGTAATGAAACTTCGGGTTCCATAAAATGTTCGGAATTTCTTGAGTAGCTGCACAATTGGCGGCGTCTCAAGAAGGGCTCAGCTCCAAAAGTTCGTTTTTTCAAGGTGGCACATGGTTGCCGTAAAAACGAGGGCCAGCATTTTACAGTCTCCAGTCATCATTTTGCAGCACTCAGAAGACTGAGACGTTTTGCGCAAAAACGGTATAAGAAATTCAGTTGCTCGTGTGTAGACACTGATGATGTGGGTCGCATAGCCGGGTTGTTGAAATGATGTAGAAACAGAGACTCTTCTGGGAACGGTGAACAATCGATGACGTGGCGCCTGGGTGCGTTTACCTGCTGGTCATCACGAACACACAACTATAAGCTGTTTCAAAAATAATATACACGCGTTTAATTCCAGAAGACAGAACTATTCGTAACTACCGCTGTGAGAACCTCAAATCCTGCAGAATATATTATTCTGTAAACCAAAGAGTAATATCTTGTGGCATATAACGCCGTGTGTTCCGTTGAAAATCAACCGAAGTTTCGGAAGAACGTGTCGGCTCCGTCTTCAAGGTCGAAGAATATGCGGAACAAGAAACCAGCGTGAAATCACGATTATTCTTCGACCCTGAAGATGAGGGCAACATCTTCTTCCGAAACTTCTACCTTTCAGCGGACTCCACGGCGCTATATCCCAGAAGATAGAACTCTTCATAACCACAGCTGCGAGAACCTCAAATCCTACATCTGTAAGCTAATTACAACAATGAACGGATTATTCCATAAACAATGGAATTTATGTTTATTCAGATATAGCGAGTAAATAGCTTGTGCTGTTATAATGTGTCCCAATATTAGCCTGGAGGAAGATCACTTCGGTCAGAAAATTCGAACCCGGTACCTACTCCGGCATTCTAATCAGTCAGCTGCGCCGTTTTATCTTCCTAAATAAACTCTGCAGTCGATACAAAGTCTCTAAATAAGTCGAGAAATGTGAGAAATGTTGCAGATCGTGACTTCATTATGACGCACGTGGCTACGGTATTTACTATCAGGTTTGCCAACTGTTTTATAATTCACGAAGCTTTCTCATGTATAGTGTATGAATGTGAAAGTGGAGTTATCCTGCCCTACCCAACATCATCATGCAGACGGTAACTGAGTCGAAAGTCTCAGCCGCAGTTCCAGATGGGCGTGGTTCTACGTTACGGCTGATATCCTAATAAATAAAGGTAAAGTTTCCTCTGTGTTTAATTAATTAAGTGCCACGCCATGAAGACATATGTATGGGGTAGTGGAGTTATACCTTTACCATTCTTATCCTCCACATCAGTGGAAGTGAGTGGTCGGCTTCGCACCACTTCCGGTTTACCCTCCCGGAAAGAGTGCTAGGTACCCGCTGGGAGGTGTCCACAGCCGCTCAGGGCAGTATGGAAATCCAGCAATCCTGGAGAGCCAGTGTTTTCTGTTAGGGTCATCTCTCCCAGCTGGTTAGTCCAAATTTGGAAGCGCCGAGAGTTCGTTTTTCGCTCTTGCATGACTTTGCCATAGCAGACGTTGCCCAAGAGCCGCAAAGTGG